GGCCCCACCTTTTTCAGGTTCTGCCACTTCCCAACAGTCCATTCAGTTATGAATCCATCCATGGATGGGTCCATTGATGAGGTCAGAGCCTTTGTGATCCAGTCGACTCTGGAAGTACCAGCTCTGAGCATTGCCTTGGGGACCAAGTCTTTAACATATGACGTGTCTCCTTTTTGGCCCTGAGGTGTACCATTAGGGTAATACTGTTAGGGAGAACTCCACTTGCACAGTCAAATCAATCACCTTCGGAAGGCTCCATCTGTAGGACATCACTTGGGGAGTCAGGATTTCAGAATTTGGGTTTGGAGTTGGGACACAGGCATTCAGAGGGAAGCCAACAGACTTAGGTAGGTCTCGAGTAGGTCGTGGGGTTCTGTGGTTTTGATATGCAACCCAGATGGTCTGGCGCAACTGGCAAAGTGCTTGTAGGAATTCTGAACTGGGTAGTCCCATTTTAACGCAATACAGATTTTATTTTCTGATGGGTTGGTAAGAATGCCATGTGTCCATCCATCCATCATGACTTTTTGTGTGTGTGTGTGTGTGTGTGTGTTGTTATTTTCAACAGGGGTTGTGTTACCAGGCCCTATCAGTTATGTCAGAGGATTGATAAGCTTCTGAGAACCAGACCTTCTAGGTCATTGGAAATCAGGGGTGAAGTTTTCTCAGGGGAAGATAGGGAAAGTACTGGGGTTTGAACTCAGGGCCTTGTGTTTGTTTACCAGGCACTCTTTTGACACTTGAGACATACTCCTAGCACTTTTATTTTCTGGATAGTGTCTCATGCTTTTGCTTGGGTAGATCTACCTATGTCTTCTGCATAGCTGGGATGACAGATTGCCAGGCCCTGTTAGTTGTGATGCCATTGAGCTGTAATCCTCAACTCCAGCTTCCGAGTAGCTGGGATTACAGATATGAACCACTGCACCCAATTTACTTTTTTTTTTTTGCACTCAAGATTTGAATGGAGGGCCTCACACTTGTAGGCAGGTACTCTACCACATGACCCCAGTTCACTCCTTAAGCTATCACTTTTTAGCCTCCTCTTCCTCTTCCTTTTCTCCTTTCCTCTTTCCCCCTCCCCTCCCCTCTTTCTCTCCTCCTCTCCCTTCGCCTCCTCCTCTTCCTCCATCTTTTCCTTTTCTTCCTACCCTCTTCCTCCTTCCTACCCTCCCCCTTCCCTTTCCTCTCCCCTAGGGATGGTCTCCTAAACTGCCACTTCCCAGTTTGTAACTTTACACATAATGCAGTTTTGCAAGCTTGGGGTCAGGTCATGATTGATACAACAAGTGTGGAATGAGACTTTTCTGGCTGCTCTAGAACTTGGGCTTAGTTCCAAAGTGAGGGCAGTGGGTGAAATACAGTTCCGGGTGACCAGACTGGTCCTTGGACCATCCAAAAGCATCAACCTCTAGCCCATATCTGATAAGATCTTATCGTAGCTAGTGCAGATTTCTTGACAGGCCTGGCCTGTTCCCCCTGGGGCCAGATGACCCCTGTAGAGCAAGCCTGGCCTGTGCCACACTGCAATCAACCAAGAGGGCAGCCTTCTAGGCAGGGGACCCCAGAAGAGGTGGGGGTAGAGTCTGGGGGGTGTGGAGTAGGGAATATAAGAGGTCATTACAGGGTGCCTATGGAAGGGAGTCTCTGAAGACTCCTCAGTGTGTCCCATGTGCCAACAAGTAAGGGCTTGGCAGGAGAAAGGGGTGCATTTGACACCCTGTACCTACCTCCCTGTTCTCTGCCAAGGATCTATTTTCCACTCAGCCCTCTGAGGCTCCTATATCCAGCCAGGTTAAGTTGGAGAGCAGGAGGGAAAGGACACATCCACTCCTGTCCACTGTGGGTCCCAGGGCCATTTGTGCATTAGCCTGAAAGGGATGGGGATGCGGAATGAAGTTCTGATAGGATGGGGCTAGATTTATAATACCCAAAAATAATGCTGTTCTTAAGAGATGACACTAACTGAAAGGATCAGCAGAAGGACTGCCCAGGGCCCAACGCTAGGAAAGTGTTCTTCCACACAGCTCAGGTCTTCAGTCTAATAGAGATTTTGAAGATACTTCGTTGGCCTGTATGAGCTGTAAAATCTTATATAGTCCTAAAAAATAAGAAATTTGCCAACAATTGCTTCCTTTTCCTCCTCTCCCCCCCTCCTTCTTTTTGGTGCCAATTCCGGGGTTTGAACTCAGGGTCTGGCCCCTCAGCTTCTTTTGCTTAAGGCTAGTGCTATAGCACTTGAGGCACAGTGCCACTTCTGGCCTGTTCCGAGTAGTTTATTGGAGATAAAGAGTCTTATGGAGACTTTTCTGCCCAGGCTGGCTTTGAATCACAATCCTTAGATCTCAGCGTCCTGAGTAGCTAGGATTATAGGCATGGGCCACCAGCTCCTGGCCATCGCTTCTTTTGACTTTTCAGATCTATGGTTCCTTGGCATCCTCATAGCCCTGCTCACAGACAGTAATAGGTGCCTTTTGCTATATTGTTTTTCTCCTTGAGGCTTCTCACTATGTTGCCTAGGTTGGCCTTAAGTTCCTGGCTTCAAAGGCTCCTCCTGCCCCAGCCTCCCAAGTAGCTGGGACCACAGGTGCATTCCATGGCACCAAGCTATTCATAAGTCAGGTGACCAGAGGAGGAAGGCCTTCTCTGAGATGTGACTTGAAGCTGAGTGACAAAGAGACCGGCTAGAAGAGGGTCTGGGTGGAATATGGTCTCAGAAGATTTAGTCAGGAGTTGGTACACTTTTCTGGAATGAGCCAGATAGTAAATATTTTAGGTGTCCTGTGCCATACATGTCTCTGTTGCAGATACTCAGCTTTCCTGTTAGAAGGCAAAAGTTAACTGCACATAGCAAGCAAATGGGCAGTGGTATTCCAATAAAACTGTATTTATCATATTCTCCTTTTGATGTACTCTCTCCCCCCAAACTAAACCACAAAAACCATTCTTGCCAGGCGCTGGTAGCTCACACGTGTAATCAATCCTAGGTACTGAATTCAGAGACTGAGATCTGAGGAATGCAGTTCAAAGCCAGCTGGGGAAGGAGGGTCTGTGAGACTCTTATCTCCAACTATCCACCAAAAATCTGCAAGTGGAGCCGAGACTCAAGTGGTAGAGCACCAGATTTGAGTGAAAAAAGCTAAGGGACATGGCCCAGGCCCTGAGTTCAAGCTCCAGTACACACACACACACACACACACACACACACACACACACACACACACACTTTAATTTTGGTACCATTATTTACTGATATAAATTAAGACTGCAGTCAGACCTAGGTAGGTAAACTGGACATGGTATGAGCAGAAAAAGTAAATCTTTTTTTTTTTTTTTTTCTGGAAATCGATACCCCACGGGGGCCAGACCAGGGCCAGACCAAGGGAAGGAGCCAGCTTCCCCAGGCCCGGGAAATCAATCAGTCATTTACCTATGGACTGATCCCCACCTCCATCCCAGTAACAAGAACGAACGAAATGCCAGGCCGGCAGGCTGGTCGCAGAGCCGCAGGGCCGGGAGGACACGTCCCCGCGCGCCGACCTCCCGCCCGGGAGGGCGCACACACCTGCTCCCAGCCCGAGCGCACCTGCCGCGCCGCCCGCCCGCCCGGGTCTCGCGAGAGCCGGGAGGGGGCTGCGGTGACCCCCGCAGCCCCACCCGCACCAGGGCATCCGATCCGTCTCTTCCTGCATCCCCGCCCGCTCGCTCGGGATTCCTTCCCCGCATCTCCACCTCTGGGAGCGGCGGCCTGCGGGCCTGGGGTGACCCTCGCCCCCGCCCCATCTGCGCGCCCGTTAGGAACTGCGCTCGGCCACGCCAGGGCCACGGGCCCGGGAAACCCCGCCCTCGCCCCCTCCCCTCTCCAGGTGCGCGCGCCTCGATCATCTCCCCGAGGTGCGCGCGCCTCCTCCCCCTCCCCTCCCCCAGGTGCGCGCGCCTCCTCCCCCTCCCCTCCCCCCTCCGCAACACGTCGGCTGGCGGTCGAAACCCCGCCCTCCCCCCTCCCCGTCGTCATGGCTACGACAGAGGAAAAC